CCTCTTCTAACCGGTTCGGTAGATTTGACGAACCGGTTCTACCGAATAGGTGCGAACTGGTGGGAACCCACCTCTGGCCTTCCCCCTTCTATTCCTAGCAGTTAAGCAGTGTCCTGATTCCTATCCTACCTGCATTCGTTCCAGCAATCCAGTTAAGGCTTGCAGCCAAGTGAGTGCTTGGGAGTACTGTTCTGTGTTGACCATTTTTGTCTCGGTCTCTAGCTCAGGAACTATGGCCCCTGTCCGCCAGCCATGCCTCAGCATCAAGTCCTGGGACAGAGAGACAGAATGGAAAAGATGTATAGATCTATCACGAGAAACGTTACACACTGAACTCCGCCCACTCTTCTCCCAGGGCTGGGAAGAAAATCTAAAAGACCCAACCTCCACCCATCCCTCTCTTCGCGACCCAGAGGATTATGCCCAAAGCTCTCACCGCCAGGTCACTGTAGAGATGGTCCCCAAAATAGAGCACCTTGGATCCACGCCAGCCTGTGAGCCGGAGGAAGTCAAAAAGGTTGCCCTAAGATTGTAGTTAGAAACGTTGCATTAGAAGGATTAGAAGAATTGCATGGATACGAGATCAACGTTCCTAGAAAATATTGTATATCGCGGAGGAAAATGGGAAAGTTCCCCTTCATATCTTGCAGGTACAGTTGTCTCCGGGACTCAAGAGACCTCTGAGCAAATTACCGTCTAACACTCAATCACCCTTTTGCCTTTTCTCTCACTTGGTTGTCCAATCTTGGCCAGGTTTCCACCCTCAAACTTAAATAATTAGACTCAAGCAAGAGCTGGCAGCTGTTCTTATTTCTGCCACCCCACCCTCTGTCCCAGACAGAGATGGTAAGTAGAGTGGGTGTTTGGAAAGAGGAACATCAGTAGCAATAGGAGGAGGTCCAAGACTCCAGGAAGGTGGCACCTTTCTTGGAAGTTAAGTCACAACAGATGCCCAGTACTGCTACTCCTGAAACATGTCCTCACGTCAGTGGTGGGTTGCTCATCCCGCCGGCTGGCAGGGTCCTCGTGCATGCGCGCAGTTCACACGTGTCTTAGTGCCTGCGCGATGCTCCATTTGCTCGCGGAGAGTCACGCAGGCGCTGTATGTGCCATGCGCCTGCGTGGAAGCGCAGAAGCCTTCAAAGACCAGTAAGGAGCGCAGGCGGGCGGGTGGGCCCTTCGGCGTTCCCGGAAGTTATTTACTTCCGGGTTCATCGACCAACCGGTCCGCGCGGACCGCCACGAACCGGTTGAAACCTACCGCTGCCTCACGTGTTCCTTCTCTCGTCTCTATACCCACAGGGCAAATCTCAAAGGAGGAAGTGGGGAGTGTATATCTTCAAAGATGATTCTGCTTGGGCTAACTGGATATTATGCCTTTTCAGTGTAGCAATTAGAGAGGAGATTTTTTTCCCCTTCATCTCATTAAATCTCTGACTTACTTTCCTTCCAAAGTTTGCCAAGAAGCTCAAAGGGGTTGAGAAGGTTGAAGGTGAATAATTAATAATTTAATAGGCGACACCACCAAGTACCAGCAGCAGTCATAATTTTTTTTTTATGCTGATGGAGTTAACCCTGCTCAAGGATCAAGGTATTAAAATCATATCGCATGTACGTAAGAATTACCTTGCTTCCTCAAAAACTCAGACCGCCTAATAATGTCCATGTTCCCTACCTGTTTATACACTTGGCCTTTCTCCAGCTTATTTATTTTGTCCCACTGCAGATCTCCATTGCTATCCAGTCGTCGGAAAGGCCTGAAAGGAAAAATGGGTATCAGTTGGAGAGGCTGCTGAGAAGGCCTTTTGCCTTCCACTATATAAGGGAAGGAGTTCTAATATCTGACTCCAAAATCCACAGCTATTTTTCTCACACACATAGGCACATATTCTTTAATGCAGGCTAGGGAATTCTGGGAGTTGAAGTCCACACATCTTAAAGTTGCCAAGGTTGAGAAACACTACTCACTAGGAAACATTAACACTGCTGTATGTTGCACCTATGTACGCATTTTCTGCAAATTTTAGTGGGTATCGAATCAGTGGTGGGTTTCAAAAATTGTTGGAACCTACTCTGTGGGTGTGGCCTCCTTTGTGGGAGTGGCTTGCCACCCATGTGACCGGATGGGAG